GGGGGGGGGGGGGGGGGGTCTCCACCTGGCGTAGTCCAAAGGCATCTGGGCTGGACCTTCAACCAGGACTGTGGCATGTAGACTATAGCTTGTCAGTCTCCCCTGTACCAGCCAGCTCCAAACACTCAACCTGCTCCCACTGTTCCTTCTGCAGGATATTATGTTCCTGGGGGACTTCAATGCTGATTGCTCCTATGTCAAAGAAGGGGACTGGGAGCATATCCGCTTGCGCACCAGTGAGGTGTTTAAGTGGCTCATTCCTGACGATGCAGATACCACAGTGGGGAAGTCAGACTGTGCCTATGACAGGTGAGTAGCACTGGGCTGGGAAGGGAGGGAGGAGTCACTTCCTGCAGGAGCCCTTGAAGTTCTGGGGCCTTAACCTTACCCTGCTGTGCAAGCTTTAGAACAGGGGGAGACCCCTCCTCCAGACAGGGCAAAATGTTAAGACTTGTGGTTGTAGTTTTAGTGGTTTTAACCAGCCACAAAACAGGTGAAGTGACTTTGGTCCATGTATGATGTGCTAGGGGAAGGATTAGCTACAGCTAGCAGGCCTGTTTTGTAGGCGCTAAAAGCACTGCAGAGAGAGGATGGTACAGTGCAAGTACCTGAGGGCAGGGAGGGGTCTGGCTGATCTACAGCAAATCTGCCCAGGACTCCACAGGGCACTCACTCCTTGCTGGCTGCCATACCTGCAGCAGCACAACAGCATGCTGACTGAACTGGTAGAACTGCAACTGAATGTTTGCTCATCTTTCTCAAGGTCCTGGCTCCAGTTTCTCATTCATGGGGATCTGGCAGAACACATAGGAGACAGTATTGGGCAGGAACAGGAGAGAAAGACAGAGAACTGGCCTGGTGCCAAGTTCACCCGCCCCTGCGCTGATCCAACAACTTGGCTTGGCTTAGTTCTGCTGTGCTTGAACATGATGTGCAGCCTGAATAAAACAGCAGGATTTCAATCCCGACCCCTGTTTTTACATTGCAGGATTGTGGTATGTGGCTCTAAACTGAGGAAAAGCATAGTGCCCAAGTCTGCAACTGTTTACAATTTCCAAAGAGCTTTCAAGCTGGAGCAGGCAGAGGTATGTTTGTCTGACTAATGGACACCTAACGAACAGCAAAGCTTTTTTGGTAACATTGCTTCTCTTTGGCCAGCATCACTCCCCAAAGTCCACAGGCAAGGCAGCCTGCCTAGTCACTAGAGGAGGATCCTTAGAAAATTATTAAAGGTGGGAACTGCCCTCTGCTCCTATCTAAACATCTGTATTTAACAAGTTTAGCCAACTTGAAGCTCAGTGTTTAACAGCTTTATTAAAACACTGTTCTAAATGATGAAACTCCACTGCCAACTGTATGGGAATTCTGAATCCCAGTCCTTGAGCCTGGGAAGTCTCTCTGTGCCACGGCCCATCTTCCAATCCTTTCCTAGTCACAGGACTGAACTCACATTGTGCATTGTCAAAAAGAGCAACACCTCTTAGGAGGAACCATGACAACAAGTCCCTCCTCAACTCCCTGGGAAACAAGCAAAGGCACTGACAGGACAGGGGCATACACAATGGTGTTTCGAAAAGACTAAACCTGTGCGAGTCAGCAGTGATCCAATCTGGCTTCAGATCTGGCGGCTTCAGATGGACACGATCCCATCCGGAGCTCCGGACTGGGTTTCTGCCTTGATCTGGCTGAAGCAGCTCTGAAGCTGCCTTGGAGATCTGGCCATAGGGTATAATGGGGAATCAATGAAATAGCTGTAACTTTGTTTGTTGTCGAATTTGGATGAAACTTGAAGGGATGGTAGCCTCTGCTGAGAGCATAAAACCTGCCAAGTTTCAAGACGATCAGCGCAGGGGTTTGGAGAGAACTGTACCCCAAATTCTTGGAAGCCAAACTCCTGTCATGACTGTGTGTTACAACACAGGGTGGTCAAAACTGCAGGGCTGGTAGCTCTTACTGAGGCCACAAAGCCTGCCAAGTTTCAAGGAGATCGGTGCAGGGCTTTCAGGGGAACTGTACCTCAAGCTGCAGACAAGCAAAACTCATGCCATGGGTGACGCTGCGTGTGTTAAGGTGCAGCGGGGTGACAGCTGCAGGGATTGTGGCCCCTGTGGAGGCCACGACGCCTGCCAGCTGTGGAGATCTGTGCAGGGGGGTTCTGGGGCCCTAGCTGTCCCCTAGCTGCTGACAGACAAAACTCTGCGTCTGTCTTGGGGCAGCTGATTGTCTGTATTGATTCTTTCCTCTCCTCAGCCTGGTTTTGTAGGTGCTAATTGCTGCTCCTTAAGTCATTATGTAGTAGCTAGATCCTGTGTATTGAGCTGGTCCCTGACTGAATCATGACTGATTGATTGGTAACTGGTAACACAGCAGCTTAGCAGCCAGGTCTGCAGTAGTGTCTCCCCTCCCCACCCCAAGACAGACACAGTCAGTCCCACAATCACCCATGGCTTGAGTTTTGCTTGTCCGCAGCTTGAGGGGCAGTTCCCTCCAAACCCCTCCACCTATCTCCATGAAACTTAGCAGGCTTTGTGACCTCAGTAAGAGCTACCAGCCCTGCAGTTTTCACCCCCCTATATTGTAACGCCTAGATGTGACATAAGTTTTGCTTTCAAGAATTTGGGGTGCAGTTCCCCCCAAGCCCCTGCACCGATCTTCTTGAAACTTGGCAGGCTTTATGCTCTCTGCAGATTCTACCACCCCTGAAAATTTCTTCCAAATTGGACAAAAAACAACAAAGTTATATATATTTTATTGTTTCCCCATTATACCCTATGGCCAGATCTCCGAGGAGGCCCCGAAGCGCTTCCGGAAGCCTAAAGGGGCAGCGCTTCAACCCAGATGTGCTGCTTTGGAGCCTGAAGCGTCCGAAGCTTCTCTGGATCCGAAGCCTCGCACAGCCCTAGAAAAAACCAATGTCTCTGAGACATAGTGTGGTCTCAAGACTGCTTCATCAGAATACTCACATGACCTGTGAGTGGGAGAGCTAAAGAATGCATGTGTGAGTTACCAAAACACGGTGAAGCATAGCTCCCCACCACCTGCCTTCCTGTGTCCTGCCTGAGAGGCACCACGTGTTGTGGAAACCATTTTCATGAACCTTCACTAGTAAAACCACGTGTCCTGGCAGGCAGAGTCCATAACTAGACAGAGCTCCAAAAGCAAGGAAACAGCACATTGAAAACTTCATTAGAATACTCTGGAAAGGCTCATCCATTCATCGAAACCCAGCTTCCTGGGACTTCAGGACCTGACATAGGCAGCTCCCACATCTAGTGAAACACAGCTGGGAGATAGTGCTGGGATCCTAGCCCTTTCACTCACAAGCAAGCAGGTTTTACAGGGAGTTAATTTGAGGTTGGAAACAAAATTGCACATTTGGGGATCATTTTTGTGGCTGACACAGGATTTTAATCAAGCAGCAGCTCAAGGCTGTTGGAAATGGCCCTAGGAGACAGAATAGGAGGCAGCTAAGCATCTAACATAGATTAATTTACACCTAGTTCTGCACATTGCTCCACATCTGTCCTGTAACTCACCTGAGTGACAGCTGGACCCCCATATGCCAAGCTCCAATTTAGCTTTCAGAAGCCTGGTGCCAAGCCACTAGGTCTGTCAAATGTAGGCTGGAAAGGTTCCCATATTCTCTGTAGTTCTCCTCTGTTTAGACAGCATAGGCACTACCAGCACTACTATCCAGTTGTTATTAATAGCTTGGAACCAGCACTCCCTCATCCCCCACCTTCCCTGCCAGAGCCAAGCATTCCCTGAGTGATGCAGGCTTTCAGCTGTTATGTGGAGCACTAAGGGCACAGCTACAGAGCTCTCCAGCCACAAGAAAGGCCAGGTTATCAGGTGTCCCAGGAATAGTTTTACAGACATACAGTGGAGGGCCTGGCAAAGTACATCAGTCCTGCCCCGCACTGTATCCCTGGGAGGCAGCTGTCTTGGGAAGGGAGCGAGCCCTGGGTAAAGTTGTGACACTACCTGTTCCCTACTTGTTCATGTCCAGGCCCTGGCTGTCAGTGACCATTTCCCTGTCGAACTGACACTGAAGACTCACTGAAGGATCCTACTTCATACACCAATGCTGCTCCGATCTTCACCCCCTCTCCTACTGCATTAAATGCACTCACCAGCAGCAGCATGCACAGTCCCAGCAAACCAGCTGCTGCCTCCTTCTCAACTGGCTGGCATTTAAGTCACTGCTACATCTACTTAGCAACAGAAGAGACCAGCATAAGCAGCAACACTTCACTCACAGAACTATACACATTGATCTCCATGTTCCAAAGGGATCCAGGCTCCAAGGCCCAACCAGCCCTTGAACCCTCTAGCTGGAAAGGCTTGCCCAGTAGCTGTTGACCCTCCATCAGTCAGAGCTCATGGCTGGAGCTGAACTGCCAATCTAGAGACTAATGATTTCCCAAAAGCAGCCCCCTTCAAGCAGCAGTCAGTCAACAGGCCATTCTTATCCAGTCACAGCAATGGCTACACATCACTTTAGGATTTCAGCTGCAGGCTCTGCACCTGCTACACACAAAACTGCTCCAGTTATTCAGTAACTCACTGCTATGAAGTACAGATGGACCCACAAGCCCCAGACAAAACAAAGCTGCTTCCTCCTTCTTTCCATCCTCACAAAACCTTTTATTGACTCTTCACATAAAAAGTAATAATGAAGATGAAGAAAAAGATAAAAGAAACCACCCCTTTTTAAGAAGGCATATATCCAAGTACCAGGTGGCCTCAGACATCCAACCTCAGCCTCCAACTCCCCAGCTGCTTTTGCTTGCACTCCATTTATTACTCAGATCACCAAAACAATTGTTTTCTTCAGAAAGCTGGGAGAAAAAAAGGCATCATTGGCATCAGACTGATTTAGAAACAGAATGCTAAAAGGGACAGACTGTATAAATCTGATGGCTTACATGGGAAAAAAAATATTTCACTTAAAGTCTTCAGCTACTGCAGCATTTTTGGGAGATCTGTGAAGAGGTCTCCTCTCTCCCAGGTCAGCAGGCTGGATCCTCAGCCTTTCCTCTGTTTTAGCCTTTCCATGTATGTCTGAAGTGACTTCTGAATGGAGTCCTTTGTGACAAAACTGACAAAGTTCTGAATGTCAGATTCACGGTGGGTAAGCATGCGATCCAGAGTTGGCTTTCTCATCATGGACTTGCTGATCTGACGAGCATAGTCTGTGGAGGAGAGAGAGCTAGCACATTGGCACTTACCCTTCATGGCCATAGACATTATAGAGATCTAGCTTCTGGAAACAGAATGAACAATGAGTATAGTATGCAGTAGGGGCATGCAAAGTGAGCCCTATTCGATTTGGATTCACATTCAGCCCGAATCAGGGACAGTGATTTGATTCATTGATTCGGATCACTGTCCCTGATTCGATTCAGCCGAATCCGAAACTGAAGACTTGATGCTGATTCGGAGAATCGGTGATTCGGACATAGAGACAGCTTTAAATGTTTAAATGGCTTTAAAAGACACAGCTTTAAATGGCCCTCCACGTATTCGGTGGCAAACCTGGAAGTGGACTGAAAGTACTTCCAGTCCACTTCCGGGTCTGCTGGGGAGCACGCTCCCCCCCCCCCCCCCCCCC